CCACGAACAACTGGAAATTTTCTAAATAACCCATTATCCTCATAAACACACCTGTTCGTGTCTTGGTATACGCGTTGCTAGTAACCACACCTGTTCGTGTCTTGGTATACGCGTTGCTAGTAACCACACCTGTTCGTGTCTTGGTATACGCATTGCTAGTAACCACACCAGTTCGTGTCTTGGTATACGCATTGCTAGTAACCACACCTGTTCGTGTCTTGGTATACGCGTTGCTAGTAACCACACCTGTTCGTGTCTTGGTATACGCGTTGCTAGTAACCACGCCAGTTCGTGTCTTGGTATACGCGTTGCTAGTAAGCACCCAGTTCGTGTCTTGGTATACGCGTTGCTAGTAACCACACCTGTTCGTGTCTTGATATACGCGTTGCTAGTAACCACACCAGTTCGTGTCTTGGAATATTCTCAAACAAACTTAGTTTTCTGTTGTATTTTTCATCAGAATTTTCAACAGTTCATTTCAATAATCAATTCTAGATCAGTTTAAGTCATTTTTCAAGTACAAAAATACAGATATTGGTACGAAAAAATATATTTTGAAAATAAAATCAAATTCAGTTAACTACTATATTCTCGTACCTTCTTGGAACACTATTCTTACCAGAAATATACAGCTGTCAAGCAACACTGTAAATATTTCGCATCACTACACCACAGAAACCAGAGTTGAACCTTTAAAACTTGTCTGGAAAAAAATGCTCGTTGCTAGTAAGCAAACTAGTTCGTACCTGGAAGAACTACCTTAGTTTATGTTGTTGTTTTGGGCAAAATAATGCATAACACTATCCTGAGAACCTAATATATATCATCGATCTGCGTTCTTTGGGTTCTTAAGTAAGAACTTTTTGATAATGTTTACCAGATGAATTTACCCCTCTACCGCGAAAGAAAACCAGAACCATGTTTCATAATTTTACTACGTCGCCCTCCCTCCTCCGGGGGCGAGGGTATTGCAATCGGATCCGTGTGTGTATGTGTGTCTATCTGTCTATGTTTCCGCGCGCGTATCTCGAACACTAATAGCCCGATGTATGTGAAACTCTTACACAAGATGGGAAGTCAGTACGGAA